TCCTAAGCCCAGTACTTAAGCCTAGTTTTGTATTGTGTTGTGTGCTAATGTAATGAGCTAGTCCTGGGAAATATGAAAGGACAAGCCACAAACTCGAAGCAACTTTATATTATGCATACATAAAAAAATAAATCATGAAAAACAGTAATCCTCGTCTTTGAGAAGAAAGCAAAAGAAAGCCAAATTTTTTTTTAAAAAAAAATGATAAAGATATTGAACACAGAACACAGCTCTTGGAAAAGAAATGAAAATTGAGGAATTAAGAGACAAGCTCCACAATCCATGCTTAATGCGGTAGGTCTACAATGTCCAACTTTTTGGCACGTTATTTCCATGATCTGCCTCACTTTTCCAAAGCAACATTGAAGGAAATCTGGACTAACACACAGCATAAAGGATAAACATCAATTAACCACTTATAACACCCAAAACTTAATTGTTTTATCAACTCCATATCTAATAAAAGATTTATGGTTAAATGCTAAATTTGGTTCTTCAACTTTAAAGTTTTGTATAATTTTCATCTCTTAATTTTTTTGTGCACTTTTTTTTGTTTTTTCTCTATAAATGTGCTTTTTTTTTTTCCTTTATTTTTAAAAATTTTTTTTTTTTAGTTTTTTCATCCGTTAGTTTGTTAAATCTATTTAAATTTATACATTTTTAATCCCTTAACGTTTAATATATATACATTTTTAGTCCCTCAATTTAAAATTGAGAGATTAAAAATATGCATATTTGGACAAATTTAACAAACTAACTGACAGATTGACTAAAAAAATACATTTTTCATAGTTAAGGGACCAAAAAAGTATATAAAAAATTAAGAGATGAAAATTATATAAAACCTTAAAGTTAAGGGATCAAAACTGATATTTAACCAAGATTTATTATAAACAAAACACATTTTCTATACGACAGGGCTTTAATCCAATGATAACATGACCAAATTATAATTGGGTCTTGAGATGTCTCAGATTGGAGTCAACTTGCACATTTCAACAGTTAACAGATGTTCTTTTATTTTCCCAAGTTAATTAAGCTTATACAACATGCATTGGACATGCCCTGAAAGCATAGCAAATTCAGTAACGCTGATGAGGGAAAGAAGGTAAGGTGGAGAAGTGAATAGCACGCTTGGGGAATGGAAAGATCACTGCATAAATCACGTGGCCTACTTGTTTTCACGCTGTGCAAATTAATTTAGTGAAATTCCGGATTTGAAGAGAGTCCATTAACTAAGGTTAAATATGAAATTTAGTTTCTAAATTTTTAATTTTGAAACAAAAACTTTTAATTTTAAATAACTTTAGTCCCTAAACTATGTTTTGCTAATTTTTTGTCACTTAACTATGAAAAAAAAATCGTTTTTTTTTTCTCCAATCAATTTTGTCCGTTAAGTCTATCCATATGGCATCTTTTTTCTTTTATATACATTTTTTGTCCTTGAACTAATACTTGTTGCGCATTTTTTTATCTCTAAACTTAAAGTTCAATAAATTTAGGGACAAAAAAAAGCCAATGATACAAACTTAACATACAAATGGACAAAAGAATTAAAATATATATATATATTTCATAGTTGAATAAAAACTAACATTGTTCAAAATTAAAAGTTTAGAAACTAAATTTCACATTTAACTATAGATTTTTCTAACTTGTGCTTTAAGGGCACATGTTAAAAGTTTTCTATTATTATTATAAATATACATAAAAAAATATAAAAGTTGATATTAATTTTAGTATTAGATAAATTTAATTAGACTATTGATAAATTAAAAATTGACTTTTATTTTTTCAATTCAAATTTATAATAAAAAAAAATATATTTAATATATCTTTAGAGTAAAAATTAGACAAACTCTTTAACTATTAACTAATTACTTCTCCATTTCAACACTAATTAAATTAAAAAGGGGTTTCCCACGTTTTGACAAAATGACAGACATGATGATCCTGGCATGAAGTAGTAATTAATTAAAGTAGCTTGTTGATTAAGTAAAATCCACCCTCCCTTTTTTAATAACGCATAGAACAAACCGTAATTAAATTGAGTCACTAATGGTCCACATGATTATTAGTAGATCCTATTGGCAATTTAGCTTGGTACCCTGTGTCTGGGCTGTTAATTAAAGAAGTATAGTATAATAGCATAAACTACCTACCCTGGCTTGCTGGGACTAAAAGTTGCTTATGTTCACATGTTTGTCCCATTTTGACTTAATTAAGGAGAATAAAATACATTACTCTCTTTGTTTTAATTTAATTGTATTAATTTAACAATTCGCCTATATTTAGATAATATTTTTCATAGTATATAATGGTAATTTTTAAAAAAATATTCCTACATGTAGATGTTGTTGAGTAATTTAATTTTATTAAAAAATATTTCAATTTATTTACTAATAAGTCAAATTTAGAGTTTAAGTTTTGGGATCCATATTCAAGAAAATTAATTTTTTTAAATATATTAGGAGGCTGATGTGGATGCGCTCATGAAATTGTTCAAAGAAAAATAAATCTCAAAGTATGTGAAAATTGACATCAGATATCCTAATTAAAATACAAAAAAAATATATATCTTATTTAAAAATACATAAATGATTAAACAAAGACAACTAAAATTTATCCGAGGAAGTAAATGAATTCTAGTGGTAATCAAGGTATAATGATTAAAGTGCAAAAACTGCAGCACTGTTTGAGCTATCTTCGTTTGTTTTCTGGTTTTCTTCCGTGTGCTTTGGTGATAGGAGATAACAGAAGCATGCCCTAGGCTTAACACATGCACAAAAGTCGTTTCAATTAAGATGCTGTGTTAGCCCTCAAATATTACTTCATTTGATGCTCAAACTGTGGCTTCCCCCTCCCTGGTTCAATGCTCAAACTGTGGGGGAACCCCATCTCATCCCGTTACCCATCATCCTTCCCTCTCCCCACCCCGAG